GCCCCCCCCCCCCCCTGGCATTTTGCTCAGGCTACGGCCCTGAACGTGAAATACGTAGACAGGCCTACTAGTATTTAAAGGATGATTTGAAGTCCAGCGTGGTAATAAGAGGAATCCAACTTAAAACTGATGTAAGCCGTCATCAATTCATCAGAAATTGAAGTGTCTGGAGTCGTATCGTCTATTTGTAATCCGCCCTCGCAGAATGGAGAGAGTTTACTGCTGTAAGTGTTCTGTACCTTGGGTTATGAATCCACTGGTCGGATTGCGCGTTTCGGGTTTATTTTCGCTTCAAGATAGATCTAGTCTGAGCAGACTGATATGAGAACAAGATTGATGTTAAGACATCTTAGAAGTCAACATAGAGAACCACAAGCATGCAGAAAAGTCTGTAAGAGGAGATAAACAATTTTAATACTTGAATTAAAAGGCCGATACCAATATGCTCAAAATAAAATCACGGACAGACACGTGAATTTTTTTCAGCTTTTGCGGAGACCGTGTCAAAGTACTGCAGTTACATATTTAATCTTTAGGAAAGGGAACATTTATAACTTAATAAATAAAGTAAAGCCATTGAAGGTCAGCCATTGAAGGTCAACCGTGTTCAATGAAAATCGATTTCTTCTGCGTCGGTTTTAATTCACTAAAATCATAATAATATTTTTCTACCCTTAAAGTTCTCGGCTCTTCTCTAGTAACAGAAATAATAATAGTAATAATATGTAGTCTTAGCTCTCTGAAGATGCGTCTCAACAGTCACCATTTACGCTAAGTCATTAAGCATAAATGTTATCGCTGTTACTGTTCTTACTGAAGATTAGGAATTAACTTCTTTTTAAGTGTACGTATAGTGTTTGGACAAATTAATAGGCTGGGAAATCATCTCTATTGTAGAGAGTTTTCATTCATCCATAAGAATGACGTCAGTGAAACTGTGACGATAGTAACAACGTGGCGTCAGTGTTAGTGCGTCCTGTAATAATTCCTCATCCTGCGTTTTGTACTGAAACAAAGAGAAAAAGAAACGTTTTATTGTATATCAAAAAACGTTTCACATAAAATAGTTATTTTTATGTTGACATTTTTTTTGTCTTCTTCAAAGTGGGTATGTATTTGCAAAGGCTTCTTTGTTTAATGACGTCAACGCACCTGATGCATCTATAATTTCCCTCCATGTCAACTTTCAAACACAGCGTCCCCTCACCGATCAGCAGGATAGGAGGGTCGTCACCGTCCCCCGACGAGTCCGTAAAAGACGCAGGATATCTCGATGGTTGACTGGCTGGCAAAACTAGAAAGAAAATAAAGGGAAACAAGGGATTCTACATTAATCGCATGAAAACCATTTATTTTCTGGCAGTTATACAGGCCTTATAAACGGATTAGGCGTTTACTAACACTATCCGCAGATCTTTTAGCACTTACGCCCATATTAACCATAAAACCCACGCGGGTAGTGCTAGTAAACGCCCAATTCGTTTATAAGGCCTGTTGTGCAATGTATTCAGGAGTGCCTTCTATCATCACTATTCCGGCAAATATTCTTAAATACTAAAACGGTTCTGTGTTTAAGATTTATACCACTCACAACTGTTTTGTATACTGCAGTTGGCTTGATCGAAATAGTTCTAGAAAATAAGGAAAGGTCGAGATGCCCTGGAATTTTATCATTTGTGACTTAGTCATTACCTTTTGTGGAACAGACACGGGGGCAATTTATTACTATAATTCGCTGAAAGTGAATTGCCATTTTAAAATATAAATAACCCACAATTACGTCAAAATTCATCAGTAACCATCTATATAGAAGGCATCGTAATCCACTCCGTACTTTCCGAGGTCCAGTTTTACACTGAGCTGGACAATTGGCCGCACGCCGATTCTTCTTTCAATAATCAACATGCATTTATTTGAAAATCTCCCTCTCAAATTTTATCTAAATGATGTTTTTTACACGCAATATTTTTGGTTCGTTTTTTAGCAAAAATCGGAGAGTGATACTGCTGAAAATATAACATCAGAACCAATCCCTTCAATTCGCCAAAAAAGACGTAGTAAAATCCTTTATGAATATTATAATATCAGTATTAATATCAAATTTGCATAAAGCTATGGAAATTAAGCCAACATTTTACACCGCTCTACGGCAATGCATGCAAATATACACGTGTACGCATGCATGCAGCATAAATTCAAACAAGAGTCTATTTTTTCAAATATGTTTCCTGATCAGATTAAGAACGGTACAGCTTACCAGGGGGACGTATCAATTACATCCCGCAAAATCCACTGTGGTGTGTTCATTATATGGTTAGTTTCGAGATATAAACGACAATGGTCCTGCGGGATGTTCCAGATCCTCATCAATACTACAAGCAATTGGAATTATAGCTATTCTATCTGGTCAGATTTGCTCATTTCATAATACTCAAAAGCAATGGCTCTCGTTGGCGGCGCTTACTAG